TAAAGCCTAGAGAGGGCCAAAGGTCTTACAACAGCTCTTTGAAAACCCTGCAACAGAACACATGCTACTCCTCCAATTCCTCTGCTGTCACAGCCATATCACATCAGTGCCTTAGGGTCCCCACAGCAAACACACGTTACTTGCACCTTAAAACATCACAGCTCACTGTCACTCTTCCACAAGATTGTGAAGAGTAGTAAAATAATGAACAGTAATGTACAATCAAATATCCATATTTTAAACTCTTTAAATATTAGCTCACTCTATCTTGACACAGCAGGCAAGAAGACATGAAGTTACAAATTAACAGTGTCTCATAGAGTTCTTAAAGGTAAAGGACTTTTACAAGTTAATTCAAAGTCTTTTGCAAAGATAAGCAAAAGCACTAAAAAAAGAAAACCATATAGTTTTACAAACCTAGTCTAATTTAAAAGCAGTAATGCTGAGATTAGATAGGTGAACTCTTAAAGAAAATAACAGAAACCAATGAGATAACACCATCTGTTGGAGAGAAGAAATGCAAGAGTGACTACACAGAAAGACAGAAGTGTTTTTTTCTTCTTTCCTCTCCTCAATTTCTGGCACAAAAGGCATATAGAAAAGTGTCTTCTTAATGGCTGAAAAACTGGTCCCAATCTGACTGCCATGCTCCACATGACACCTCTTTTTTCTTAAGAGCCCTACAGAGCAATAATTCTCACTTCAATCTCCAATTTTAATGCAATATGTCGAGAATAAAAAACCGGGAAATTGTAGATTGTTATAAGATACATCAGGAATAAAAGGTTATTACAAACAGATTAGTCCAGGGTGGAAATGACACAGGCTAAGCAGGAGGCATGGATAATCTGGGTAAGTGCCATGGAAAAGTAAATATCATGATTCAACTTAAGGCAAATGGAAGCAGTTCAAATTGGCTTCCTCCAATTCATTGCAGAACATGTGATGCCCACATGTCCATTTCCAACAAACTTCACCATAAAGAAACAAAGAGCAATACTGTGAAGTGTTGAAAAACACATCTAGCCATCTAGCACCAGCTTCTTCCATGCCATAACAATGTGAATTACTGCAGCTGCCTGATAAGCATGAAAGAAAAGCATTTGGGCTTTTTTAGTCTTTTTATTTCCTTGTCTTTTGTAAGAGAGCTACCAGCATTTATTTGAAGCACACCAACCTGTCAGTAACTGCTCACCTTGCAAAGAAGAGGAATTTTTATAAAACACACATTGCCAGCTGGTCTAAAAGGCTCAAAAGCAGTAACTCCCCTCAGCCTATTTCCTCTGTCCACTACATGCTCCTTCAACTTCTCTGGCCCAGTTCTAGAAGGTTTCTATCACGTTAATTTTTCAGAACATCAGCTGCTTTATCCAACTCCATACGAGGCCACAAAAATGTTAGTGTTTGCTTAACAGAAAGGTCAGGAACTCCTGGCTACGGACAGGATGTCTCTAACAGCAGCAGCCCACATTTAAATTAATCATAAAAATCTCAGCCTTACAGGAATAACTGATCACATCATTGCACGAACGTAAGGAAAAAATTTAGTAAGGGTGGCTGAGAGAAGGACCTCAAAAAGAGCCATGCTTAAGTTTAAAAACTAGCTTTATGGAAAAGTGTTGATTAATCCGCTTATTATTAAAGCCAAATACCAGCAGCAGAAGGATCATACAAAAACTATGCAGCTTAAAGGATGTTCCACCAAAAACAATTCTTACATGACAATTTGAGATCATGGTTTGATTAGCAAAGACAGAGGATATTTCACAAGCATGTTACCAGTTTTTAGAAAAAGAGCAAAAGCCCAACTGTTACAGTGACACAGTCCATTCTCTGTGCTCTTGCCACCGATTAAAAACAGCAAATTTAGAAATACTAAGGATAAATATCACATGCAGAGGAGTGACTGAACAAAACAGTTAATGGTTTGAATTAGGTTTTTTTCTGGGGTAAGACATAAATATTTTATCACTACAGGACAGCATATATGCTGTAGTCAATGGGGACATGGGAATTCAGCTGTTAAAACATCACTGCAGCTTCAGAGGAAAAGATTCAGTCTTGACCTAGAACCACAATGAAGTCCCCTTTAATTAGCTCCACTACAAATTGCTAACTGCTCATCACAGCAGAGCAATCAAAGGCAGATGTAAACACTGTTAGCCACATTAACCCTGGCTGCTGCAATCAACATGTTTTTAGCCCTGCTAGAGGGGTTAAATTATTTAGGTTTGAATTATTTTTTAATCAGCAAATTCCTTGCTACTTCTAGTGGCTGTATCACCATGTTTTAGGGCAACCTTGAGGACATCTCCATTTCTCCCTCCTTTACAACTACCTGAAAATATTCCTTCCTCTAATAATACCAGAGAAAATACACAGAAGTTTCACTTTTGATCATTAGCAAAAGCAGAAAAGGACTCTGACATCAAGTATGTGAGACAGTCCATAATTCTTAGGTGAATAAAGCATTAAAACTACTGAGCTGGCAACTGCTCTTGACCTTTGAGCCTCAAACCAAGTGTGACAACTACAGCTCGTGTTGAACTCAAATTTGCAGTAGGAACAAGTGAAATAAGTCTTAAGCCGTGCCAAGGGAAATATAGGTTGGATATTAGGAAAAAGCTTTTTACAGAAAGGGTGACAAAGTACTGGAATGGTCTGCCCGGGGAGGTGGGAGAGTCGCCATCCCTGGATGTGTTTAAAAAAAGACTGGATGTGGCACTCGGTGCCATGGTTTAGTTGAGGTATTAGGGTTGGGTTGGACTCGGTCTTGAAGGTCTCTTCCCACCTTGTGATTCTGTGTGAAATTGCATGGATGACACAGCCAAATACATTACCAAGGAATACTTAACCAGAAAAAACCTGTTTCTTCCTCCCCCTCCCTCCTGAAATTCCTTTTTGCACCCCCCACTACTTCTTTCCCAGCTGAAACTAGTACAACTCTTTGGATAGTCAGAGTGTGGTTAAGCAGAGGAAGCTATGCTTGTTTGCATGGAATCTGCTATTTCCTCTCTGCCAAAACACTTGTTTAAAGAAGTCATGTAATATTTCTATTAAGCTGTAAATGCAGTTGACAAGGAAATGGCCTACTGGCAGTCCATTACCTTTGTGGCAGTGCCAACCAGCCTACAGCAAAATAGTGTGCATGGTAATTTTACTATGCATTCCCAGGCAACAAAATTGTGTCTTACATAAATACCACATAACTCCAGCAACATCTAGGAAAAGCAATGAAAATTTGCCCAAGCTTTCATGCTTGCCTGTATCAATTCTGTGTCATAACTAAAACAAAGCATCTACATATGGCCAAAAGTCCTGTGAAGCTGTATCATATGACACCAGAAAAACTATTGCAACTTAAATCTGTGTATTTCTTGTTAACCACTGTAACAACTCACTAATAAAAATTAAGAAAAACTGGAGGTATCAAATATACAAAAGAGCACTAACTACATACAAGCCCTTAAAAACCATAACGTAATTTATTAACAAGAACACATGTTGTATGTAACCCAGAATTGTGTTAGATTACATTGGCCTTTGATAGCATTCACTTGATTGCAAGAATTAAACAAGCATTCAAACACAATGACCTTTGATTTATAAGCAGCTATTGTCATGCACATAAAAATCCTCTCTGATAATGTAGTCCTCACCTTTCAACAGCTGGTGCAACTACATACAGTCATGTTACTCAGATGTAATTAAGGCATTTTTGTTGGAAGTATAACCAAAAATCCCAGCATGATCAAGTGTAGCTAATTTGTCATCAATCATTCAATCATTCTTCAAAACATTTTTAGAGGTAATTTCATCTTAAATTCTCATGAAAATCAAGATTAAGAGATACTTATTTGGTTCTCAGCTTTCACCTGAGTATTTTTAGTTTGAGTTGTAATTTTAAAACAGTTAATTACATGGAAAAAATATGGTGCAGGAAAACAATTAAACTTTACCTCCAAAATTATGTAATGTTTCTAAATGAAAATCACTCACCAGGTTTAATAGAAATTTCAGGAAACACCTCTCCTCCAAAGAGTACACACAACCAAAAATCAAGAACCCCACAAACAAAAATAGCACTAAATACACTTAAATTCAGATGTGCATCACCTTATAGTAATTGTATGTGAACAGTACCTTCTCTTCTATAGTGGTGGTTTCTTTAAATTAATATTCTGATGCATGAGGCACCAGCAAAAGAAAACAGAATAAAATAATTTAGTATGCATGACAATTCTGTGGAAAATTGCTAAGATTTTTCTGGAAAAAGGTATGCTTTAAGCAACATAAAGTGCCTTCTTAATCCAAAGTGGATTTCAAACAATTTAAGAACGGAGCATTTATTGATGCTTAGTGCAATCAGCATAGCTATTCTATAGTTCATTACAAAATAATAGCAGCATGACTAACAGCATCAAGTTATCCCTAGATAAACATTGATCCCCATTAGCTTCTCCAAGTAATTCCTTTGTAACTGCTACTCCTCATAAAGCAACAAGTTCTATTTACATTTTATTTTGCAAAAAGTAAACTAATTCAGTAAGAGACCTTAAGAGTCACTAATAAATAAAAGCTGTCAGGTGTAACTAATAATAATGCTATTAGCACTGCTCCCATGGGACAGTTCTGAATTCTTCTTTAGGTCACCTTTATTTCAAAACTGCCTTTCAAAAACAGACTGACTCTTGGTGATGCTAATCTCCAAGTGCAGTATGAAATAGATTCTAAGTATTTCCCCAAAGCCAATTAAGAGCTTCCTGCTGCAGCTCCCTCTCAAGTAGAGATACAGGTATTCTGAAACCTTACAGAAGTACGGTAAAACAGACAAACTGGAGCCAAGAGGAAGCAATACAGAAAGTAAAAATTGTTAGTATTAAAATCTCTATCCATAAACATACAGCTTTATGGCTCCAGTATTAGGGAGTTTTGGATGTTTTGTGGGTTTGAGGGTTGGTTTTTTTAACACAACAAACAAGAAACACCAACATACTTACCCTCATTGGGTGAATATCAGCATATGGAGGCTTTCCTTCAGCCATTTCTATTGAAGTTATACCAAGGGACCAGATGTCTGCCACACAGTTATAGCCAATCTCTTGTATGACTTCAGGAGCCATCCAAAATGGAGTTCCTATAACAGTATTACGTTTTGCCATTGTATCCTGTAATTATATTATTTATGAAATTAAGCCAGAGATGCTTATTTTCAGATTATCTTTATATCAATTCTACATTTAAAAGTTAAATTATCCACCCAAAGGTCAAATGGTAGTGACTTTCAATTAATACCAAACAGATTCAGCCCATCAGCCTACAGAGGCCAAAGAGGTGACAATAAAGCTCATACTAAAATCTAAAGGGATCATCAGGCACTTGATACGCTGGGCTATAAAAACAGACATCTAAAAACTAAATAGCCCTGCAGCACATTAAATACCCACCATAATAAAGAATGTTAGTTCTGCCACTACCACTAGTGGCAGTGACACTGCTCAGACACAAAATTCAGGGCAGAAGACAATGGCGAAAGAACAAGGTTGGGAGCACTACAGCATTTTAAAATTATCTTCCCACAGTTACTTACTGTTAACTGGCCAGCCACACCAAAATCAGCTAATTTTGCATGTCCCTCAGTGTTAAGAAGGATGTTTCCAGCTTTTATATCTCTATGTATTTTTCTCATAAAGTGCAAGTATTCAAGTCCTTTAAGAGTAGATTTCAAAATAGTTGCAATTTCATCTTCTGTTAGCTGAAAGAAAACATAAAACCACTTTCAGGTATACACATAAGGTCCATAGATTTGACTTATTTAAATCATGATCATTTCATAGTGATTATTGTAAAGAGCACAATGCTTGACTTCTTTTTTTTTTTTTAGCAGACCAGAAAAACTTCTGTTGGAAAGCTTAAAAAAAAAAAAAAAAAAAAAAATTATTAAATGCCAATTATACAGAAAAAAGATGATGTGTAGACTGGCAGGCCAAAATGCTCTTAACTCTAATATAGTGCAGAGTCACATGCCATCACAAATGCTACAAAAAATTGCAAGTCAACTGGCAAAAAGCTGACAGACATTTTATTATGAAACAAAACAAAACAGAGCAAAAAAACAGACATATTTTATTTGCTTCATAAATAACACTAATTCTTGAGTAAGTCATCAGCTAGCAGTTGTTTATCCTCATCACTTTAGATCAACACAATAGGAACAAATAAGCTCCTGAACAAGTGTTATCAGAGAAACAGCAAGAGTCTCTTTTTCAGGTAACAGACCCCCTTGATAACACATCTCAGATTTTCATCAACATTTGTTCTCAAATAAAAGCACAAACACGCAAATATAACTCATTCCATGTGATGCAATTGCTCAAGGAAATACAAAAACTACCCACACAACTGAAATGCCAGTTAATTACAGTACACTAATGCTTCAATATAAGAACTAAAATTAACTTCACACATTCTCAGAAACACAAGAAACTGGAAAAGTAAAGATGAATACTCTGATTTGGCTGCAATGCTGGGTTGCATTTTCCCCCTTTCCTCTACTTTTCCAATCCTACACAGAAAATAAATTAAGCACTAACAATTCCTTCCAGCTTCAGTTCTGAAAGCGTTGGTAGGCATCCACACCCCCCTCCAAAAAGCAACCACCACCAAAAGCCTGTAAGAAACAAAAAACCCACTCATGATCACTCTAAGCCAAAATAATGAATCAACAAAAAGGAAAATAAATAATTAGTCAGCAAGATTATTTGCACTTGAGCTGCTCACAACAAGTTTTAATTATTTAACAAACAGAACCACTTCCCAACCACTTGTTGCAGCTTCTGTCCAGTCTCACAAAACCTAGGTGTGGAGCCCAAGGGCACAGTTACACATTTGTTTAAACAGCAGTGCCAAGCTCCAGTCCCTCCTTTCCCTACAGCAGTAATTCACAGTGTCTCAGTGGTTCTCACTGAACCACTGTAACAGACAGATCCTAGTTAAAAACAAACCTGTCTGCCAAATTATTTTTCCAACAAAACAGTTCCGGGATTCAAGTGATGGCATAGTAAAGAAGGACAACACAAAGTAGCTGCTGCTCAAATTGGTGTTGCTTTCAAAAAACTGCATGTGTCGATATACCCCAGGAGTTCCAGAGACTTTCATAAACCTTTTCCTATTCAAGCAGAAGATGAAATTGATGGTGGTATATTCCAAGCCAAGCAGTTACCGCCTCTGCTGTGCACTATGCATTCCTTGCCCACCATTTATCTCTGAGATCTTTCAGTGTTTCTATTCAGCAGCACACTGCTCAGAGCCTTTATTTGTGCTATTTTATGCTGACTGCTATGCTGCTTCAAAAGACTGTATGCCAGAAGAACTGAAAACCCTGTTATACACAGCTCAAATAAGACAACTTTCCTGGCAAGGTGCCATGAGACTAAAACCATCTACCTAATCTGGAGTCAAGCAAGAAGGGACTTGAAATCAACTGTATTATAAACTTAAGTATGGTCAAAAATATATCTGGAGAAAGAGACAATCCTCATGATGTGAGCTAAAAATTCTATGGTGAATCACTAAAACTGTGATTATCTGCAAACTCACACTTCAGGCAATTTAAACCCTGGCTTTAAACACTGTATCTTGAATGGTTTAAGACATGCTGAGTGTAACACTTTCTGCCCAAGCTTTGCCGAATCCACCCAATTTCAGAAACAATACAATGTCCTGAATCTCCAAAGCCATCCGTGCAGCTAATCCTGGACATGCAACAGAAAATGACCCTGAGCACTGACAAATGTGTAGCAAGATAAGCATACAACTTCCCTCCCACTTTCATCTAGAAACAAGTATCATGAAAAATGGAGCTTAGAGGACATGGTAGAGATCGCTCTTCAATATGTTGTGCTTCTAAGGAGGTAAAGAACTAGCTTTAGTTCTTGAAAAATTAACCACATGAAGATCTTTGGATCATCAGCTCTAGATGGAGAAGTGGTTTGAAGTGGATTTGTAGCTTCATGGCAAAGTCAAGCTCTCAAAAGGAGAGGTAACAGAAGACTGGAACCAAAAGCTGGCAAATAAACTATGGAGTGAGAATCCAGCAAACCAAAAAAGAATCCTGGAGTACTGCAGCCTGATGCACTATCTGGGGACCCTCAGCAAAGTAAAGCTCTAACATGGCTAAATATTATAGATAAAGCAGTTACACATCCAAATACACAAAGTGGTTAAAAAAGCCCAGAGAAGTGAATATCATCTCTAAGGAGTAGGCAGAGAGCACAAGTCATGTTTACCACGAACAGCAGTAACAGGAAAGCACAGGAAAAAAGAAGGAAGAACAGATTTACAGTTCCAAGACACATCAATCCCAGCTCCAGACATCCTAGATTTATCCACTTGTGCTTTACATAATCATCACCTATATAAGATGATGCAGTCACTAAAATCACTCCTTATACTTAAAATCAACTTATACTGTTGCTGAACATGGCCAAGTATGCGCACAGTAACACTCAGAAAAAATGTTTGGCTTTAATACCTAATATTATTTAGAAGGATGCAATGTATTGCCAGCCTAACACAAGAAGCAAAGGAAGTACACTCACCTTCCCTAGACAAAACTGCCTTTTCAGAAAATAATGCACTGCTATATTGAACACTGCCATGCAATCAGCACAAAAAAAGTATTAAAAAAAAAAGATTTCAAAATCATTAATTTTATTATTTTTGTGCCATTTAAACTTTCTGCAGAACACACACCACCTATGCATAACATAGGTGAAAGCACATAAATTACAAAGTTCTCCACATGTATACCTCTAAATCCAGAAACACTATTCAACTATGCAGTATTGCAGCTGAGCTGTACTGCATAGTTAAACGCAGCACACCATTTCTTCTCTTACTGGATGCACTAAGCATTATTTTAAAAGCTTCACTTACGTTGTTCCTGTAGACCAGAACCACCTTGTGCAGATGTTTTTGCACACATTAATGGTATTTAAGTATTTTGTGCACTGCCTGCCAAAAAGCAAATGGTATCCTGGGCTGCATGAGATAATGTTGCCAGGAGGTGCAGGAAGGTGAGTGATCCTTCCCTTCTTCGACACAACGCTAATGCCACACCTGGAGTGCTGGGTCCACTTCTGGACTTCTCAGTACAAGAGACACAGACACACCAGAGAGTTAACAAAGGGCCACAAAGATGATCACGGGACTGGAACAGCTCTCCCAGGAGGAGAGACTGAGAGAGCTGGGACTGTTCAGCCTAGAGAAAATAAAGCTCATGGGGAATTTTTTTAATGCAAATATGCAAATAACTGAAGGGAAGGTGCAAAGAGGATGAAGTGAGGCTCTTTTCAGTGGTGCCCAGTGACAGGAACAGAGGCAATGGACACACTCTGAAACACAGGAGGTTCCCTCTAAACAGCACTTCGAGGTTCATTTAAACTGTGAGTGGGACTAAGCACTGGAACAGGTCACCCAGGGAAGTTGTGAAGTCTCCCTCCTCGGAAATCATGCAGACATGGCCCTGGGCAGCCAACTCTAGGTGACCTTTCTTTAGCAGGCTGGTTGGGCCAGACGATCTCCAGAGGTCCATTCCAACATCAACCATTCAATGATTATGTACTCATATAATTTACAACTCCATACAACAAAATTAGGTGCATTTTACATCAATTTGAATAAAACACGGGTGGTTTGTTTCAGCTGACTTGTCTATGTTTAAAGTTTGAGTATCATCCCAAAATAAACAAACTCCAAAATATATCACTACTAAGGAATAAGTAAGTTAGTTAACTGTCTGAACAAAAAGCAAGTATGTGTTGCTAAGAAGGTAAAATCACTAGCTTTAGTTCTTGAAAAATTAGTGGTTGAGGTCCCTGATGACAGAAAGCTAGGCAGTGTTATTCCAGTTTACATAAAGGGCATGAGGGAAGACCCAGGAATCTATGTATCTGTTAGTCTAACCTCAGTTTCTACAAAACTGATGGAGAGCATCATACTAGGTACTACTGAAAGGCTTTGAAACAACAACGAGATCATCAAGCACTGTCAACATGGGTTCACAAAGAGAAAGTCCTGCTTAATTTTATACCTTTCTATGATATGGTCACCCACCCACAGTGAATGAAAAGTAAGTGGTGGATACTGATTTTTAGTTAAGTAAGGCTTATGATACTGTTCCTCATGGCATCCTTCTGCAAGATGAGCAGATACATAGTGAGCTGGAGGCTGAAGGGGCTACATCTGGCAGGTGACCTGTCATCAGTGATGTACCCTCAATTCTAGGGCTAGTTTTGTTCACTACTTTTATCAATAATCTGGATTATTGATATGCAGGAATTGAATGCACCATTAGTAAAGTTTGTTGAGAATACCAAAGTGGGAGATGCTGTTTGAACAAGAAGCCTTGCAAAGGGATTTGGACAGAATGGAGCACTGGGCAATGATGAACAGGGTGAAACTGAATAAGCCTGAATGACAGATTCTACATCTGGGATGGGTAACACAGGGACAAGCATAAATTGGAAGAGTAATGGCTTAAGAACAGCCCTGCAGGAAGGGATTTGTGTGTGTTGGTCAGCAGCAGGCTCAGCAGGAGCCAGCAATGCACCCTGGCAGCCCAGAGGACAAACCCCTTCCTGGGGTGCATCAAACTCAGCATCCCCAGCCAGTCACAGAGGTGACTGTCCTGCTGTACAGCCTTGGTGCAGCCTGGCCTTGAGCTCTGTGTGCTGCTCTGGGCCCCACAGCTGA